TATTGAAGTTCATATGCTACTAGCACAAACTTACCTGTTGATGTTGTGGAAGAGATTGTATGGTATCAACTACTGGTGATCTAAATGTCTTTGACAATGCAGCAGCCATATGATCAATCCTGACCTGAAATGTGACCTAAAACAGACAAGAAATTTGATATTACTTTGTGAATAAACTCAGTCCAACAAATACAGACCTATAGTATCATGTAAAATATAGATTGCTGAGAACACAATTTTACCACATTGGACATTTGTTAATGTCATGCTAAATAGCTAGACATGGATTATGAAAACATACGGGAATGTTTTGTTGTCTTTTGAAGACTTCAAGGTCTGGAGGTGTCTGCTGATCAGTGACCTCTCCCACTGACGAATTCAGGCTGCTTGACGATTCACTCATCTCTGCCTCCAACATCTCCACTGCACTCCTGGAACAAATGGCTTGCTTTTAAGTAACACTGTTATATCTCAAGGGAGATTTTTAGCCGAGGGAAAGAATACAATGAAACACTGACCTGCATACAGAAAGTGCTTTCCTCATATCTCCAGATGCAGCTGCAACTTTCTGTGATATCTCAAATGATCAGTAACTGATTACAGTCCCTCAAAGAAAACACACAAAGATATCAATTGAAAGCATGAAGTCAACATTGATGACTCACTCTGGCACAAAGCTCCAATGCTTGTGGTTGGAATACAACATAGGGTAGTGCCTGATTAAATGGAACAAAATTATTAAACTAATAGTACCACACCAGAATACCAAACTACAAATGGATAAAGCAAAGCAATTGAAAAGCAAAATGGAAAGGTAGTTACTACCATGAGCCTCTCCCGAAGAATTCTAAGGATCTGATCTTTAGAGTAGGCACGGAAGGTTACAACCAAAGGTTTACCTGGAAATCATGAAGCAAACGGTTAGTGTCATTTCTAGCTGCCAAGCTCTTCTTATCACATTTCCTATTTGCAACTAATTGAAAGGAGACAGTTTATGGTCAGGAACACCTATAGCTGAACAATTAATGGTCAATAACTTCAAGAACAGAACTTACATGTTTGCAAGAAAGGAAACAACATATGCATTATAGATGCTGAGCATTACACAAAAATAAAAAGGACCCAACACAATTATTAAAGATGCTAAACACTATACATGTAACAGTTCCAGGTAAGAGAAAGTGCTGAAGGCAAATCATTTTAAGGACAATAATGTGCTCACAATTCAATTACTGGAGTCTTGGAAGATGTATTAAAGATGCTAAACATGATACATGTAACAGTTCCAGACGAGGGAAAGTGCTGAAGGCAAATCATTTTAAGGACATTAAGACCCGAACTTCCTTTTACACCATTGTGGAAATTTAGTACCCAATCTTAAATTGGGATTTCTATTAAGACCCAAACTTCTTTTTACACCATTGTGGAGCTAATGTGGATAATTTCTCCTCCTTTTTTTTTTCCCTTAATATAAATGGATTTTTGAAAATGATTATTAAAAAAAAAAAGAAAGTAAGTCTCTTGTTTTGTAATTCAGATCATTTTAAACTGTAAAATAAGAGTTATTGAATCAAAGAAAATCTAAATATTAAAAGATCCACCCACATTTAATAGTTAATATTATGTAATTTAATATAATCTGGATTACAAAATACTTTTTTCAAAGGAAAAAAACTATACTACTACTTTACTACTCTAATAATAGGATTAGGACTTATGGTAGAAGATTTGAAACTTAATTTTCATGAAAAAAAAAGGGTATTTAGGACCAAATAAAATCTTCATGCACAATACCCAAATACACTTTGAAAGTTAAGTACCGAGGATGAATTCACCCAAAAAAAAGAGATAAATTTACTTACAAAATTTTTAATTTGGATAAATCATTCCAAATTTAATGTGTAATATCATTTAATGTCAACAATTTATTAATTTGTTGAGTCACTGATAAGTTTATTTTAATGAATTACTTAAGTAAAATCATGTTATAAGTGAAATTTAAAGTAATTTATCGAAATTAAAAACTTTATAAATGAATTTATTCTCCTCTTCTTCTTTTTTTGTTTATTCATAGATGAATTCATCGCTTTCCCATAACTTTGAGATTGAATTTGGGTATTCTGCCATTTCCCTCCGAGGAGTAAGGACCAAACTGAATGTTTTCTCTTTGTTTTCTCTTTCCCCAGTTACCTGTGCAAGATTTGGACGGGGACAGACAAATGGAAGAGTTTGCCAGTGAGGGGATCGGTCTGGAGCCCAAACAACCCAGATGCTGACTTTTGCTGCTTTTTGTCATTTCAAACTGGGCCACTTGTTAGGCCCAAAGGTTAATGCTAGGCTCCCTACCGACCGAGTCTGCTGCTCTGTTTTTCCATCTGGTTGGAAATTTTTATAAACCCTTTTTTTTTCTCTCCAATTTTTTGGGCCTGATTTTGAATTTAGTTCTTTTTCTATTGGGCTGGACACTGTCTGGAGTCTTTCAAGAAGAAGCAGCTTGTTTGTTTAACCTTGTAGTATATCCAAAAAAAAAAAAGAATGGAAGAGAGAGCAGCTTTTTGTTGCAGCAGCTTAAACATTCCCTTTTAAGCACCAATAATATATTTCCAATGGACTTAATTTATGACAAAAGACTATTTAAAGTCTTCCTGCTACACAACATATAACACAAGTAGATTTCATACATGCTTAAGCTTAAGTGCTTAACCCTGAAACAAGTAAAGATGCTGCAATTCTGCTCTGAAGTCTGAACCAATCAGGCAGACTTGGTGGTCTTATAGAACTTGTAGAGGTCCTTATCGGTTTGATAATACACAATATCTCCGGTGTCACTCACAAAATGATCTTCTTTAAAGCTTCTCAGCAGGGTGTTGAGTAAGTGAAAGGGAATAGGCCCTGATTTTTTTGGCTCCCGGTAGTACTTTCCAAGCACTGCTTTAGCTGCTTCTGTCTGCAATGGAGCTTTCATTATCAATTCGTCATGTAATTAACTCCAAAAAATAGTCATACATGCTTGCTAATTGAAAATCATCCTTTTTTTTTTTAATGTACCGCTTCTACTAGGTGGTAGTGAGGAATTTCAGGGAAGATATGGTGTATGACATGGGTGCCTATGTCATGGTGGATTTTATTGAACAAGCCATAATCACAATCTACTGTTGTAAGCGCTCCTCGTAGGTAGCTCCATTCCTGTCAATTGCACACACATGACATGAGGGCAATAAGTACCCTTTGTATTCTTTTATTGTGATTCTGATTCTTTTTCATTGTATTGTTACAAGTTGCATATCTCTTATATTCATTAATAAAATTTGCTTTTCGAAAGAAAAAAAAGGCCTTTTTTCCTCTTCTTCTTCTGCTTGATGAGTTCACTAAATTTGATTCGTATGCCAAAATCTGCTCTGAAGTTAGGATCTTTGTGCCTGTTTGGATTGCATTTTCATTTGATGTTTTTAGGTTACCTTGCCCCTGTACCAAGGAAGCTTCCGCTTATAGCCATGGTGATGCAAGTAAGTGACACCATCCAACCACACTATGAAAATCTGAAATTACAAGCACAAGGCAAAAAGTATATATGTTAACATCAGGGAAATAATATCAATGTGCATGGATCCAGACAGTTGTAAGGTAAATTTGAATAACAGTTTTACTGACCAAATAAGGAACACCATAAAGCTTGAGCATATGGAGTGAACCCATCAGGAAGCATAAATATACAAGAAAAGAAGCAACTACCATCCAACAGGCAATTGAAGTCATCACAAATTTCCTTTCATTCGGCGTGAACAAGTCACTATAAGGGTTGAAGTGAGATCCTTCCTTGCCTGGAGTTCTATACCACTAGTAAAATGAGAGAGACAAAAGTTAATTAAGCTTCCTATACCAGGAGGAGCATAATCTTTAATCTTATGATGAAAGTCCAATGAAAACAATAGTACTCTTACCAGATATATAGGATACGCAAACAAGGGGAAGGGCAATGTGAATCTTAGCATTCGAGTGCTAGTCTCCAAATTCTTGTAGATCTTCTCAGGCAGCTGAAAGAAATAGAGAAAAATATAATAAATTACATTTTCAGATTTGATATTGTAGTAGTGGCACCACTGGATATATATGTCCATATACTTTCATATTTGACAGAAGCAAAGCGAGCAGATAAATAATTTTTACCGGAACCCATGACTCATCTTTTTCTACATTTCCATGATTCTGATGGTGAGTCCTGTGACTTATTCTCCTGAAAGTTTTCAGTAAAATGTTATGTTATTTAACCTCAGTAGAAGAATTGAATGATGAAACGAAAATGGAAAAGGTTACTAATTTAGAACTCACCATCCATGATATGGTACAAGAATTGAAGAATGCAAGATATGCCCCACCACACTATTCAGGGTGGGATTGCCAGAAAAGCTTCCATGACCGCTATAAAATAAAGGGCATTTTCTTCTTTAGCACAAAATGCAGAACATAATGGGAGAAGTAGAAATTATGAATATGAGAAAGTGCTGGTATTAGTATAGGTGTGATTACCAATCATGTCCGAGGACAAACAGTGCCCAAAACATTGTACCTTGACCAACCCAATAGAGTGGCCAAAAATACCAATTATTGAAGTAGAGTGCAGCTGCTACAAACACAAAAACAACTAGGACGTCAGTGAAAACATAACTCATAGACCTCCATGGATTCTTGACCCAACAGTGGTTGGGAATGGCAGCTCGGATCTGTGCAATCCGAAATGAAGGGGCTGCACTTGGATCAAAATCTTGTTGACTGTAGATCCCATGAACCCCATTCATTTGTTCTCCTTTTCTCTCCATTACTCGAGGAGATGACTCTTCTACTGAAGGAGAACTCATTGTTTGCCACCTGCCTTTGCCTGCAACACAAGCTGAGGAACACTTGGACATGTCACGAAGCCTGGTTAATTAGCAATATATATATAGAGAGAGAGAAAGGGCCACTTATGGTAGATGGTTATGTATGAACTTTTCTCACCTTCGAGTCTTGACACGTTTATTGTTTTTATTCAGGGTTAGAGTGTCTGTTAAAAGTGCTGTTTGCATTGTACCTCTCCTCAATTAATGTAGTTGGTGTGTTTAATAGTTAGTTGGGAGGTTGAGATGTCATACGTAGACCACAAAATCCAACCAAAAGAATATGGTGCAGATTTGTCTACTCTGCAGCAAACATGTAATCAATGTATTCCCTCCTTTTATTTAAGCTACACTTGTATGAAATATTAGGTGTAGAAGAAGATGACATGAATGTGAGAAAGGCTGGAAAAACGAAAATCCAGACCTGTGTCTTTTCATCAAAGTCTTTTGCCAAGTTCTTGTTCTTAAATCTTCTTCATCCAAAAATCTATCAATTGGTATCAGAGCTGATGTTCTTGAGGGACCTGTGAGAACAAAACAGTGAGAGGTGTGTGAGAGAGAGTAAACATGAGAGTAAGTGAGGGAGAGAAGCTGTGCTAGCAAAGAAACACAGCCATGGCTACAAACAACACATCAACAAGATCTTTCTCCAATCCTCCTTTGTTCATAGGCCAGAACTACAGCATGTGAACCGGGCCTTGTGGTCCAATGATTCGCCCCCAAGCCTTAGTACTTGGGTGAGATGGTGATCGGAGCTTCGAGCTCCACAACCGTCATGAACTCCACCAAAATGCAGCTTGATGACCGCGCGCCTCATTTGAAGGGGTGGAATGTTCACCCGATCTGAGGACCAACTGCTAATAATTAACTTACTAACTTCCTAACCATTACCCTTGTCAAAAAAAGAAAAAAAAAAAGAAAGAAAAGAACTACAACATGTGGGCCATCAAAATGAAAGCATTCCTAAAAGGCAACGGTGTGTGGGACTCAGTAGAAAATGGCTTTAATACTCCCAGGCTACCAAACAACCCAACTGTAGCACAGTTGAAGCAACATGCAGAATATGTTCAAAACTCCTATAGAGCCCTTTCATACATCCATAATGGAATAGTAGACTCGATCTTTCTGAGAATCATGAAGGCAGAAATAGCAAAAAGTGCTTGGGACACTCTTCAAAAGGAGTTTGAAGGTGACAACAGAGTGAAAGACAACAATCTGCTTACACTAAAAAGGCAATTTGAAATGTTAGCCATGAAAGAGACAGAGACAGTGCATCAGTACTCAACCAAGTTGATAGACATCATCAACCAAATCAGACTTCAAGGTGAGGATTTTCCAGATAAAAGAGTTATTGACAAGATAATGGTTAGTGTACCAGACAAGTTTGAATCAAAGATCTTAGCAATAGAAGAGTCTAATGACTTGAATCAACTTACCATTAATGAGCTCATTAGCAAGCTAAAAGCTTATGAGCAAAGGTTGTCCATTAAAGGTGCCGAAGTTCCTGAAGAAGCCCTTCAAGCAAAGGAAAAAGGGAAACAAGCAGTAGAGACACCAAACTCTGCAGAATATGAAAAGGAAAAGATGTTAGATAACTCAGGTCAACAAAGCTATCAACCTTTTCAATCAAGAAGAGGGAGATTTCCTCCTTGTAGACACTGCCAAAAAACCAACCATGAAGAAAGGAGATGTTGGTTAAAAAGAAAATCTCAAATCCAGTGCAGATTTTGCAAAAGATATGGCCGGAGAGAGATTGCAGAGCTAAACAAGCTCAGCGAACTCAACTAACACAGCAGCCTCAATACAGACCAAAGCAACAATAGAAAGCAAATTATGCTGATACACATGCATAACAAAATTACCTATTTGTAGCTTCCTCGAGCAGCTCTTCAACTTCTGCCAGTTCCTGGTATATTGACAGTGGTTGTACAAGCCACATGGCTCGAGATGAAAGTATTTTCTTGGACTTGGACAAATCAGTGAAAACAAGTGTCAAGCTTGGAAATGGCACGGTGGTTTTCTCACAAGGAAAGGGAACAACAGTAATCCCAACAAGGTCAGGTACTAAGCTAATTTCAGACGTGTTATTTGTGCCCAGCTTAAGTCAAAATTTGTTGTCTGTTGCTCAGATGATGAAAAAAAGGATATTCTTTGTCATTTAAAGATGATTTTTGCTATATTCATGACTCATTTGGAATGGAGGTTGCTAGAGTTAAGATGGTCCAGAACAGTTTTCTTTTAGATATGCAATCTGTTCAGAAATGCTTGCATGCTTTTAAAGTCAATGATACACTTCTGTGGCATAAGAGATATGGCCATTTTAATGTCAAAGCATTGAAATACATGCAAACTAATGAATTGATCAGAGACTTTCCAGAAGTGCATGTAACTAATGAAGTGTGTCAATGCTGCCAACTTGGAAAAATGCACCGGCTATCATTTCCTATCAACAAGGCATTTAGAGCTTGTGAAAAGCTAGAGCTTGTCCATACAGATATTTGTGGTCCCATGAAAGTTCCTTCTTTGGGCCAAAACAAGTATTTCATTCTATTCATTGATGATTTCACTAGAATGACATGGGTTTACTTTTTAAGTAGCAAAGCTCAAGTGTTCTCAATGTTCAAGAAGTTCAAGGCCTTGGTTGAAAACCAAAGTGGATGTAGAATTAAAAAGCTTAGATCAGACAATGGTAAAGAATATACCTCTGCTGAGTTCAATAATTTTTGTGAAGAGGCCGGCATCCAACACCAACTTACAGTCAGCTATACTCCACAACAGAATGAAGTTTCTGAGAGAAAGAACAGGACAGTTATGGAAAGGGCCAATTATGGTAGATGGTTATGTATGAACTTTTCTCACCTCCGAGTCTTGTTTACTGTTTTTATTCAGGGTTAGAGTGTCTGCTAGAAGTGTTGTTTGCATTGTACCTCTCCTCAATTAATGTAGTTGGTGTGTTTAATAGTTAGTTGGGAGGTTGAGATGTCATACGTAGACTACAAAATCCAACTAGAAGAATATGGTGCAGATTTGTCTACTCAGCAGCAAACATGTAATCAATGTATTCCCTCCTTTTATTTAAGCTACACTTGTATGAAATATTAGGTGTAGAAGAAGATGA